GTTAGTCGTAGATTTGGAGCTCTTCTAGGGATCCGGACATTAAGGGTACTCAAAGGAATTCCAAACATGCGTTTTGTTTATCGTAGCGAACACTCAATGGGTTTTCCTGAGAATGTTTACTAAAACTTGCTCGATTCTTATTGGTCGATCTTGGCTTATGACATTCACCGGAAGTACAAAGTAGCGCCTTTGGGGCCCCGACAGGGGTTACAATTTTGCACAATTTTTCACATTTTTGTACCTCGGGTAGGGTGGCTGGGTCCGAAATTCTATGACCGAAACGCATGTTTGGAATTCCTTTGAGTACCCTTAATGTCCGGATCCCTAGAAGAGCTCCAAATCTACGACATTGCGTTCCATTTTCTCGTAAACCGTTGAATGGAATGATTCAAAACCGAGTCACCGTAACAGCTGGATAATCCTTCTGTAGCCCGTTGAATTTCGGTGGGAAAATAAGACCTAGAAGGTAAAACAGTTTTGTCTCGAGTACGAGGTGGTGTGGGATCTGGATGCCTAAGCTGCCTGCCTTGTCGCATTTCTTAACTATGGAGAGCGAGCCGAATTAACCGCCGAACTTTGAAAGCCCCAAACGAGCGATTTTGTGGCTTTCTAACAGAAAAAAACACTTCCAAACAAGTAATGAACTATTAAGCTTTGTTCGGAGCTGATTTTTTTCCCCCTCTACTAACTATGTTTTTTTTGAAGAGTGACTACTAGGGACAGATTCTAGAGGCAAAATATTTGAACTATATTTATAACGGCTATGTAAATGCAAAAGGACCCATTACCATAGAAACCCGAAACCACGGATATTTAAGATGGTAAGCCTGTGGTTAGATTAATGAGTTGTTACCAATCATTAAGACCAGAGTATACATAAAATTGTTTTTAAAACTGCAAAAAGGCCAGACACAAAACCATGATCTAAAAACCGATAACACATTGACAATCGATAGCACCAATTTGTGAGTTACGTTTTCCTTTCCACTTCGTTTAAAATCATACATACATACATCTGGGTTGACTGCAAAAATCTCGGATCACTGGCTAACTGTAGTAACATGAAGTCCTGTAAAGGCCGCTGACCGGCAAGCGACACAAAAAAACCCGAGAGGATTTATTAAAGGCTTGTGTTTTGACCAATCTGTGTAGTATTTGAGAATTCGTGTACCGAACATAACACTAACTGGAGCCCTTTTCGTAAGGAGGAGAGTTTAGATACGTTTCAATTCTGTGTGAATCCAAGCAAGCTGGATTTAATTTATGGCTCCCCTTTTTGTTTTCGCGCTTTGGCGTATTATAATCGCCTCAGTTCAACTGACAGATCGTTATGTTTTCAACCGGTATTTGTATAGCTTTCTTTGAGCAAAGCTCGGGGAAGAAAATTTTAGGCGAAAGGATAGTGTTAATGAGAAGGATGATTTGCGTGAAGAAGCAAGGGAACTGAGGCTGTTTGCTAAAGAATTTGGACAAGGCTTGCGACAGCAAAGAGTAAGAGACAGGACGAAAGAAAAGGCAGGAACTCTCCCTCTGGCCCTAAGCATGATCGGAAGAGTTCGAACAAGTCAAACTGAAAATGCTGCTGACATGCTCGAAGAGCTGCAAGCCTTAGACGCAGCACAACCTGAAAGAGCGCAGATTGAAATTCGTCCAGTTCGTTTTGCAAAGGGAGATGTGGTTACCCTAAATCACAACTGGAAACGTTATTTGGGGCCCTTTTTCTTAGCTATTCTTCGGGAGGACCTTCATCGCAGCAATGATGGCATCTTTGAGCGCACCATCTATATTAACTGGCTTGAGCCGTCAGAGGAAGATCCGTTAGTATACACTGTAGGCAATGAAGACAACAACAACCCACCTCAGTGTATTTTAGATAATGCAACGTTGGTTCAGGATGGTGAGAAATTTCTCCTAAGTCGAAACGAGGAGCAACGCTTGAAAAACTTGGCTAACGGGTCCGACGAAGATGATTATGAGAGCAGTGGTGAGGAGGAAAGTTATGGTGACAACCGTGAAGACGATGATGATCAACCGACGCGTTTCGAAGCTGGACGCAGTAGATCCGGCAGGAGAGTGACACGATTTGTGTTTTAACAAGCTCAGAAAAAATCCCAGGCCTTTCCAGAGTTAAACTTTGCTCAAGTTTTCTCGATAGATACATTTCAATAGATTTCTTACAAAGAGTCACGCGTTGAAGACCAAGTTTAAAGCATGACCAAACGATGTTTTTCCAAACGAATGGTCAAGAAAGGTTACTGCGATAACTACGTTTTATTCCAATATTGGTTATGAAAATGAACTCTTTAAAAAGTTAATGAGGCTAATATTAACGTCAATTTCATGCCTTCTTTTTTTGTCAGGCGGATGGAATCGAAAGGTATCAGATCTTTCCGGTAAATTCGTTTCCCTGTGTTTCCCTAAAAATGTTTAATAGGAGTTGTATAGTATCGCACTAGTTTGTTTTGAATTTAGGGAAATTAACCTTATCGTTAAATTTGAGCAAAATCAAGAATGTTTACACGTGTCAACGAAGTGTCGCACTACTCGATGATGATTGTAAAAGGTTATATTCTACAATGGTAAAGATGAACAAAAGAAGTGGAGATAGAGTTAATTCAGGTAGGATCCTATTAAATGCTTTGGGTCATTATAATATAGTGAAAGAAATGTAAATTATAGCACATTTTTATAGTCTAATAATGTCACATTGGCGCAATGAAGAGAAAATGCCCTGGGATCAACAAAATTTTGCCGGATCAGGGATCAAAATATTTACCACTTTTGGAATCAGGGACCAAAAATTTGAGTAAAATTACGGGATCAGCGATGAAAAAATAAACCTCTTTACGTCCCTGAAACAACGCCAAACTTGGCGAAAAGATGCGGAGAGGTAAGACTGTACGCCACCGCTAATGGCAAAATAGGACACGTTTTCTTTAACCAAGGTAAACCTGTCCTTTTTTCCTCATCATGAAAACTGCGATGTGCGATCTAACCTCTTCACAACGGCAACCACAAACGACTGGATCGTAAACGATTAAAATTCTCGACTAATAGGCGGTAAAAACCATTTTAAGATAAAAACAACTTACTCCGACAAAGTGTATTCGAGGCCTCTCTCTTTACGACTGATGTCTCTTATTTTATCTTTCTTGAGTTTTTCCAGCAAAGTTGGGATTCCCACATCGTTGTCCGCTAAGAAAAGAATCAGAAAACAAACGACATGAAACTAATGCAGTAAAGTCGAAACGTCAGTCACTGCCACCGACAACAGTCCTTCTCAGGACTACACTCACCCGGACGATCATACTACACCTTCACATGAAACTAATACTATTTTCAAGCGACGAGCAAGCAGTTACACATTGACACTTCATTTAATGAGTACAAACGAGTAAAGAACGCCTTTCAAAATTTGAACTGAGCACGTAAGATGCTGAGCATTTCACACCCAGAAACTGGTTGTACATATGATTCCTTACTAGAAACTATAGTAGCAGAAGCGGTGACGTTAGTCCTTTTTCTTACCTGATTTTTGGAAAGAGTTGTTGATTACCCACTAAATGAGGATTACTCTCATCCGTTCTCGGACAATCAAATCACACGATAACATGTTCACTGAGCTTGAGGTCAGTAGTTGTTTTTTTAGTGGAATTGTTCGGTTGGTTATCACAGTAGAAAAGTAGATTTGTTTTTTATCTCTTTTTTTTCATCTCTTTTTGTCTAGAGGACAGAGACACAGAGCCTGCCACAAGGATCACACGATCAATCTGTAAACTGCACAAGACTAAATCAAAATCTAAGTGAAACTTGACGAGATTATTAAAGTGTTACGTTCGTGAAATAGTTTGGCCCATGGACTCTCAGTGCCTTTTCAGCCCTGGTTGTGCCTAAGGAATTGGGAAATGGTTAAAGATACAAAACAAGAGGGTAGAAATAGCTAATACGTGACGCGCTATTAAGGACAGAATTAATATGTGATGCGTGAATTTTACAAAGAGGCAAGCGTCATTCGTGAATTTTGGAACCAGCGTGAAGCGTAATTTGCGTCCTGAAGTGTACGTGACGCAAGATTTTTTTTTTTTTTTTTTTTTTTTCATTTTGTGAAAACCTCGAGATTTTCCTGAAACAAGAAAAAACATTGAAGTTTTCATTAAAATGTGATGAAATAATGAATTTCCTTTAGCATTGCGTCATTTTTTAATTATGGAAAGCAGGGTAGCTAAACTTTCCTACAGCGCCCAAGAAGAATAACTGAGTACCAGCGTACAAGGAAAGCTGAGGGAAATCTAAGATGACAAATAACATTTCATTGAAAATTAGCGAGTGGCAATACAAAAAAGTGATTTACAATTACATCCAGCTGTTGTAAAAGGAAACTCTCGCGAGCCACTACTTCAAAGTTCTTTTAGGATTTCTGGCCTGTGGTGACGTAGGTACAGATTGTTTTCTGAAAATGCCACAGTGACTGATCTTAAATTGGAAACAGGCCGAAATACTTACATTGTAATCGGCTAATAACGGTGTTAAGCTAATTAACTGCCACTGAGTTGTCAAAGATGAAAAGTAAATTTGTAGGAGATTAAGCAGCTTAAACTATTTGGGAGACCGAATGCCACTCAATGATCAACAACATCCAGCAAGCGGATTAGAGTTCAGTTCGAGTGCAAAAAAGCCACTGAAGTTGCCTAGTAAAAATGGAAAGTACACTTCTGTCAAGAAGAAAAATTCACGCTTTTATCGCTCTGAGCAGTAATAAAATCAAATTATGGTCATGCATCACGATTTCATTGAAAACTAGGGAACAAAATCAAATACTCATATTAAAAAAATCCGATCGCCCTCAATCACAGTAAGATGTTGATCGTAAATAGACCCTTGTTGGAAGAGTATTATTTTCTCTGAATTTCTTCATTTCCTGTTGATGTTTTTTTTTATCAAGGTTTAAACATCTCTACATGGATTTATTATCAGACTAAAAGAAAACTATAATGATATCTAAATCACATTACTTGACATAATCATAGACATCTCTTTTAGCTTAAGTAACTCACTTGTTTCAAAACCATTAATATAATCCATGGAAGAAAATGCATGAAAAAGGAAGACTCATTTGGCAAAGGAAAGCTCGACATGAAATAGCTACGCTAGAGAATGTGCCGAGCATCAAAAGATCTTTCCCCAAATGATTCTTGTCTATTCCACGGCGAATAACTCTCTACAAACTTCTTGTTTACAAAAACCCTCAAAATAAACGGTACGTCGTCGTGCTTACCATATTGTAGCCCCTTGTTCGTTACTCGCAAGCGGATTCCAGGATGCACGGTTTGGCTTTGAATACGACAGAACTTGCAGACAAAAAAGATGACGACCGATGTTAACAGAGTGTTAGACATAAGCTTCATAGCGCTTGATGATACAGTGTACACCGGAGTTTCCCTCGACAGAGTTATTTTCGTTAGCCTCACTTCAAGGTTGTTTAATCTAAAGGTGATTACTCCCAGTTGATATGTCAGGCGATAATTAATGATTACCCCAAGTGCCTAATTAGATTTGCTGACTCATTGGCACATTTGATACTTTGCTTATCTAAAGCAATCCTTAAAAGGTCATTACTTCTCGGATCACATAACGGCCTCGCATTGCACTTTCGAACGCGTCTTTCGAGAGAAAGGCGAAGAGGCCAAATAGACAAAGATGAAGAGGAATTGGAAGATTACGATATTTACTGGGTTTCTAGCCTTGTTCGCGGGCTTGTTAATTACTAAAGCGAACCCTGGGATACGCCTTCGTTTTACTGACAAAGGTCTCCAATTAGGTGAGTGTCTACTCGATGGCTTTAAATTGTTTTATTTACACACCAGCCACGGTATCAACAATTCTTTCGCTAGCATAAGTTCGAACAGCGGGATTTGCCTTTTTTCATTTATGTTTCATTACCTTGATCAGAAACACCTTAACGTGGGTTTGAGTTAGAATCCAGAGAAATGCGTTAAGAAATTAAAGTATCACATGTAAATTCGTAAGTTTCTGAGAATTATTTACGGGGGCTAAACAGCATGAAACGGAAGACATTTATGACCAAAGTTATGACAGCTTCAGCCTCAAAATTATCACTTTCTTATTCTCATGCGTCTGATGGATATTTTCCTCTTAAAAAGCAAAAAATACAGCTGTTTTCACGGGCCATCCAGGAAGTGTGTTGCGTTATTCGTTCCCATAGGGGTTATAAGAAGCTTTCATAGATTCACGCCTGACCGAGCAGGTATGGAGCTTGAATGACTTAAAATGCTAATGAATAAAAAGGGAACTAACTTAGCTTACAAGATAAGTTAGTTCTTTCTGAGCTGAATACGAGAAAAAATGACAATAATGGAAAATTCCGAAATGAAAGGACACCATCAGACAGGCAGAGACTGAACCCACAACAACTCGGATCAAGGGAATCTGCGGATTATTAACTTGTCTGGGCAAATTTTTATCACTAAAACATCCTGATGAGACGTTTCAGTTTCGAATCTTGTGAGAAGGGGAAAATTACTCTAGATGCGAGCTGACATGGATCGGAAGTTGAGTTTCGAAAGTTTAGGTTCGAGAGGCAAATGTTCGATAGGCTAAGTTTCGAAAGCTTTTATCTGAATGTTATCACGTTCCTCGTCGATATTTTATTTCATAATTTAGTTCGTGTCATACAAATAATTAGGCTGCTTGTTTTGTGCGAAGATGAAGTGAGTATTTTGGTCGTTCTGGATTTTGTTATTAGCCTCGTTCTTTTTGGATTTATGAATATCCCAGTATATAAGGAACAATTTTGAAGTTCGAAAGAGGCCTTGCAATACAAGTGAAAGAAGGCGTAATTATTTCAGGTCTCAACGGAGTTCCAACCCCTGTGCGGATTATAACACAGTTACTTATAAGACGAAAACAAATTATTTTATCTGGCCTCATTCGAACCCCAGTATTTTCATCCAAACTGCAGCTAAAGAATATCGTATACAAATGCATAAGGTTCACTTTAATAGAGAAGTTTTGATAGGTTAGATATAAGGAGATAACTTGTTCTATGTTAAAAAAAAATAATAATAAAAAAAAAAAACAAAAAAAAAAACACGGATTTACCAAAAATTAAAATAAAAGTGCATTATCGTATCATTCAAGCCACATTTAGATCAACTTAAACTTACAAAAACAGATACCAAATAAATACCCATAAATTTAATCTGATAAAACTGTTCATGACGGTGAAGTTTATAGAGAAAAGTCAATAGGGCACTTCTTATCAAATGTATGAAAGCGATCCTTGCCGCAATGAACCTTACTTATGTAGGATCGCTTTGATACATTTCATGAAACCGCAGTACACATATATGATTTTCATACATTCAAATTCACTTCTCATCAATCCTGATTTCCTTAGCGATCTTTCTGCTCTCCCTCGTCGCAACGAGAACCATGACACTGTTAAACAATTGACAGTCCTTCTTTCACGGTGTTATCCGTTGCACGAGTCAGTAGAGATAGGTACAGTAGAATAATAGACAACCGCATCTCTGTTGACGCACGTCAGGGATTTCATAGAGAAATAGCGAGTGGTCAATGTCAAGTTTCCATATCCATATCTTGTGAAGACCTGTGAAGATTTCGCCCGAAGTTAACACGATACTAACATAGTGAAGTCAAGCTCTCTAGAGGCCCCGTATAGCCAGTGTCCTGAGCTCCTCTCATCTCTGTTGAGTTGGGGTCAATGTCATAGGTCGGTAAAGTGTGAATGCCTGTCAGTCCGTTTGACCACCCACGTTTGTAGAGAAAAAAAAATTCTAATGCAAAATTTTAGCTTTAATTTTGCTGCGGGAAATTTTTTTTTTGCCACCGTCAGTGAACAGTAAAAAAGAATTCTGAATCCCATCTTTCTTTTTTCCAAAGTTGACACAGTAGCGATCCAACTTCTGAGTAAGAAAGTCAAGACAGCAACGATCCCTGACATATCTGGAGATGCTGATACACCGCTCGGCCATATCTCTTACTCGCTGTCAAGGTATGTTCGATCTGACGCCACACGTATTGGGCGTGACCTGAGATGATGATGACCTGCGATCTGTACTTGTACTGGTAGCACCTTGTGTGATTAACGAATGAGTATAATAGGCCAAAATTAGTTCAAATGTTTACTGGTTATTCCCCATGAGCTCTCCCTGCGCTCGGTATTTGGATGGCCCATCGTCTACCTTTTTTTTTTCTCTTTAAACAAAGACCATCTTTTGTTATTTGTGACGTCTGTTGTCTCTCCGTCCCTCTCTCTTGCTCAATCTGTAATTTTGAGACAGTTGATAACTGCCAGACGAAATCGCTAATTTTGTGAATTTCCTCTTCATCTTTTTTAAGCGTGCATTTCAACTCTTTCTCAATTCCTTCATCGACTTTCAAGACGGATCCAGGAGTTGGACTTACCCTCCAGATCTCTGGCGCACAAGTGTCGGTGAGCGGGAACTGGCACTACCGCAAAGATCACTGGTGAGAGCTCTCGTAGAGAGAGAGTTCTTCTTTCACAACTGTGACTGGTCACTTACTTTAAAGGCGTTAGTTAAATTTACGAGTTAAAACATTCTCCATATTAACATGTAGCTGTTTCTTCCAAAACAATCCTTTGAATAAATTTGTGTACTTTTTTCTTATCATCTTAAAACATTTCATTTCGTCATTAAATTATATATTTGTTTATTTATGTGCTTACTCCGTGTAGTCGGTGTCAAGGTTTGGATGAGCTGAAATTTTCCAATTTGTCAAAACCTCATTTGCAATGTTTTTCTCTTATTTGGGCTTCAGGCCGCATGTTAGTGACAGTGGGAGTTTTGACTTGGATGCAAGCGGGATAGCTTTGTCTGTTAGTGCAAAACTTGGTGAGTTGTGTAGAAAAGTCCGTTTTAACGAAGTATTTTTTTTCGGTGAACATATTGCAAATTTCGCACTCCTTCATACCCATCTCGATGACTTTTTGTTTTCGACTGGAGTGTAAATTTTTCGTATTATATCTTAAAGCCGTAGATATTAAGATTGTGATTGCCTCAACCTGTTTAGGATCTTCTGTAAGGGAACTTCTCTGCCATAAATTACTTCGTTCTCGACTACTTTTTTGTTTGTTTGATTGTTGGGTTTTATGTGGTTTTGTTTTGTTTTTTGCTTTTATTTTCTATTTCAAGTCAGTTTTTCTTTGAAACTTATCAGAGTAAATTCCTGTAAAGTGAGAGCGAGGACTCCTTCGTATTGTTGATTGGAATTCTTCCACTCTTTTTAGGTGCAGATAGTACTGGTCATCCGAGCATTGCTACATCCAGCTGTTCTAGTTCAATAGGAGACGTGAATATCCATTTTCATGGTGGTGCAAGGTGATCCATTTCCTTCATTCTGCTCTGATGTTTTTTTTTTGTGACGTTAAGTAAATGGAGACATTTCACATGCTAGGGAATCGTCATATACGATGGTGCATTTTTTTTAGAAAAGGCGAGGCTCAAAACCAAACCAGCACGACTCCTACATAATTACGGTATACATTAGTTGATCCGATCACATCCCTTCTATTGTGTAACCGATACTAATATACCAGTTTGCTTGCCGACGAGATAAGGGAGTCCTTTCGTTACGGCCGTTTTAGATTCGATATGATTTCCAAATAACATTTATTTGAAATTAACCTTAGTTGTAAACGTTCCTGGTTGGACCCTGTGCATAACTTGTGTAGAAGCTCCCGTACTGTATGATCATGCTCTATAGATTCTGAATAATTCAAGGAATATAGTAGGTGTCATTGAATAGTTTCCAAATAGCCACGGCTTTCTGGTTTTTTGGCCAACGAATGATTTTTGTTGATAACTCCCGATTTGACTGTACTACGTTTCAACTTTTCTTCTTCCCAGTTGGCTTTACAACCTTTTTGACAAATACGTAGCAGGAAAAATTAAAGATACTCTACAAGATAAAGTAAGTATTAGTCTTATTAGAGGGATGTGGAAAAGTTGAAAACTCTCAAAATATTTAGTTACCCATATTTCTCTTCTATCTTTGTTTTGGACTGAGTTTTTTCTCGGATACTTAAAGTTAACCTTTTACCGACTCGTCAACTTTTTCCAATAGCTTTGCCAGGAGGTATCGGATGTTATAAATAACAACGCCGAAAAAGAGCTTTCAACGTTACCAGGTAACTAAAGACATGCGGTTCTTCTTTTTGCTGTGTCTTGATTTATAAACTCTCAGGTGAACAAGTTTGTAAACCACTCGACTGTGCCTTGTGGTTTACAAATTTTCCTCGCTTTCTCCAAACTTCCTGCGTTGCTTATTACACCGATACACCGATAGAAAGTGTGGTTTATTGCTTGATTATTATACTGCGAGATTAACCTTTCCTTGTCTAAAAAGATGAGTTTTCAGCAAAATATGAAAGGTAAGAGATTGCTGTTAGGCAATACGTGACATATCAGTCGTCTCCTTTTTCTTTTTCAAGATTTGAAGTGCTGTTTATTGAACTCTACGATTAACACCACCCATTACCTTATAACAGTTGTACGGCTTCCATATTCATGTTTTTGTGTAATAATAGAGTACATGTAGTTCTCGTGGGTTTACAGCTCGCTAACCGAAAAAGACCTAGTATTCCGAGACCAAAGCTTTATCTTTCCTTCTTTTCACATTTCAGTGATAAAGCGCCTCGATAAATACGCTCTTATAAACTATTCTCTGGTTTCAAGTCCAATCTTTAATGAGTCTTACCTGGATGTCTTCATCAAAGTAAGTGACATCTATATCAGTTCTATGTTATCATTTGCGTATTCATGACAAGGTTTGACACGTTGTTCAGTTTAGTCTAGTAACTTTAGTTATCGAATTCTTCCCTTTCCGTTTCACAAAGAAACTGAAAGGAATCGTATTCATTCGGCCAATAACAGGCCACCAAACCTGATTCAGTTAAGTGATGCCAACACTGCTAATATCATAAATTATTTGCCTCAACAAATAAATTTGAATTTCACCAGAAGTAAAGCAAATTGCACTCCCCAACTACTTTTTCGACGCTAGGAGTTTAAGAAGATACCAGGTTTCATGGAGGAAGGGTCAGAAAGTAACTGGGTGACAGTTAATGTCCAGTGAATCACTAAACATTTCTTTCATAATCCATGTGACTTATTTTTGACAATCACAAAGTAAAATAAAGCCCAAGTTCTCACATTGATTAATAAAAATCTCGAGACACTTGATTTTCACAATAAAAAGGCTCGGGTTGGTTCTATTTTTTCCTTATTCATATGTCATTTATGATGTCTTAAGGGAGAGTTCCAATCTGTGACAGCCCCAAAAGAGGCTCCATTTTCGCCTGTAAGCCTCCCTGCTGATTCAGAATCGGCGAAGATGGCCTACGTTTGGTTAACTGACTACGTGGTTAACACGGCTGGGCTTGTTTATCAAGATGCTGGGTTTCTGAACGAAACTGTCACTCCGTCAATGGTAAGTGCAAAAATCTAATATTTTAGGCGCAGTATGTAGGAAAAGCGCTTATCTTGCACTGCAAACGGGTGCGACTTGGTTTAATTTTCAAAGTCACCAACAAAGAGTTTTGCGAAATTTCCCCTCCTTGCTGAACGATGTAGTTTAAATATTGGTTTGCGAAGACCTGGTTTATCAGGCGTCGTCCAAGCTTTTCTAGTTCTGATCATCAGAATAACACTCCCAACATTTGTCTTATCTCTACCTTTCCTTCCGTATTGCTATTGTTCTTACTATTATTATTATTATTACTATTATTATTATTATTATATTATTGTTATAATCATCACTATTATCATTTTATTTAAGCATACTTCTGTTCTCCCTTATTTTCCGTATTTAAGCAACTTAATGGAACTGGAGGCTGACTGGAAAACTTTTAAAAAACAGTTATTTGGCCTCCGTGCTCTTCATTTGTTTTATTTCTCAGTGTGTTCTGAGTATTTTCCTCTATAAATCTGTTATATACAAGATTGAATAGAGTATTATATTGTTATATATCATTTCATCATTATGACAGTAAAATTATGTTTTGTTTTCGTCGCAGCTTCCTCCAAACTTTTCGTACCCTTTAAACACGTCGACATTTAAGTTAATCATACCGAAGGTAAGTGATCACTTGTCCAATTTGTTTCTTTTGGTGATTATGGTTCAGGGCTCATGTTCCAATGCTGGTGATTGACTGATACATAATGAATCCAGCCTTTAAGTACAATGTGCTTAAAAATTTCTAAGAATGACGATATAACGGTTAAAAGTTACGGTTACTATGAGAACCCGGCAGGAAATTGAGTTATTCTGTATAAATAGCGCAGCACTTTCGAGAGTATACTAAAATTTGCAATAAAGTTTGAATATAACACGCGCTGTCATCGGTTGAAAGAGCTGGCTTTATCAGAGTACAAATCACGGAGCTGAGCCAAAGCTGTCAAGCCAATTTGTACGATGTTCCTCCATTTTCCCGACTTCTCTTTAGCTTTTCTTCGTTAATTGAAAGTGAAATTTTGGAACTGAAGCGAGCCGGCAAGTTACAACAGAAGAACCAATAAAGGTTTGTAAAGATGCCAAGTACCGGCGTAACTGACGTTATTACAACGTAAGCAAACTGAGACGAAAATCCTTAAAGAGGAAAGGAAATGGAGTGTCCGAGTCTGAGAGTTTTTTTCACGCTCAGTTAGATTGTAAGTTTACATACAGTAATAAAACTCAAACACAGCTAACTCTCGTATAGTATATCTAGTTTCGTGTTCAAAAACAAAAAGTATAAAACAGGAATTATGAATAATTTAACCAAACTGGCATAACTGTTCAAAATAACACAAATCATGATGGTGTCAGAGCGACTGCAATCATACTGAGGTCCATCTCGGCTAACTCATCCTGGCGATCTCCGGCCGGATTTCACTGAAGGATTCACTAAACAATATAACTAAACATTTCAGGCAAGTGTTAAATTTGACCTGCCCAACTATTTCTAGCACTTCGTAAACTATTGAAGGTTGTCAACTTTGATGGTTCGACATTTTTGACAGCTTTAGTCTCGTCAAACCAGATTATTTGAAGCATTCTAACAAGGATTCTGATTGGCTTAATGTAGCGTATTTGTGAGAGTATAGACCATGTTGACGACATTGTTGTTCCCTTTGGGAATAAAGTTTGCTTTGAAAATTGAAAGTTATGCGTGGGGAATTTAACGGATTCTTTATTTTAAAACAAATAAAGAAGCCTAAAGAAGACCAAGAAGAAATGTAGGGAGAAACACGAGAGGTAGTTGAGTGTTTCTCCGAACATCCCTTTCGTGCTCTAGCCGCTTTCTGCGTGCTTTACAACAGATCAGAGCACAGTCAAGGCTTCTCTATTTGTTTAATACCGAATAAGATTTAAAACTGCTAGAACTTCTCGTTCAGTTTTATAACTCAACTTTTTCAGTAGCTGTACTTAAATGTTAAGTTTAATTTATTTGTTGAATTCCTTTTACTGAAACAATGAAAAATCAGTAAAGCGCTTTTCCACACGTTTATTTATCAGTTATACCTGATGTATCCAAACTGTCTCATGAAGCTGGTGGTACATTCCACTCTGCGCCCTACCATATCTACAACCTCCGCAGGAATAGCCTTGTCAATGACTGGTGAGGTGGAAACCTACGCACAATTAAAAAATGGTTCATTTGGGTACACTTTCACAATGGGACTGGTAAGAGAATCAGGCACACGTTTGATCGTTTGCAACTTGCTATTTTGCCTTTGTTTCAGAGAGGTATTGGCTCATCATTAAACTCTTTGAAATTGAAGAGAAAGTTTTTGTGTTTACATTGGGACTCCCTTGGAACTTAGACAAAGATAAATCCAAATGAAAGGTTAATTAATTCATCGATAAGGGTGACTATATGTTGATCAATTAATTTGTGTGGTTTTCCATTTGTAGAACATATCTGCAACCGTGAAGATTGCAGTGAGACAAACAAATATTACTGGTCATGTGGATACAGTCAAGTAGGTGTGCCTAGAAATATATTCAAATTTTCTTTCGGAACAAATTTGAATTTAACGTCCAACCTACCTTTTAGGTGGGGAAAAGTTATGGGTTTTTATCTTTCTCTCTTGCTGTCAGTCGATGCGACTATGATTGTCCTTTGGGTTCGGCTTTGGTTGAATAGGATTTCTCCATGCTGTTCTATTATTGGCTGTAGTCTGCCAGGATTTTCGGTCAATGTCTCTCCACTTCACATTTCGTTTCGCCACATCCTTGTATCTGAGTCTAGGTCTTCCTTGGTTTCTGGTTCCTTCACAGAGCTGGGAGTAAAGCATTTGACGGGGGAGCCGGTCGTTTCCATCCTGTGCACGTGTCCTAACCATCTAAGGTTTTTTCTCAAGCAGTATGTCAGTCGTGCATGGCAGGTCTGCGCGGCGTAGGATTTCTTCATTTTTTATTTTATCGGTCCATTTGATGTTCATGATGTCTCTCAGCTGTCTCATCATGTAAGCATGTAGTTTGTAGTTTCTTAACCTGTGACCTGTATATTGTCCAAACTTCTGCTCCGTAAAGGAAGCTTGATAGTACCACTGCTCTATAGACTTTGCAATTCGCTCGGATGGAAACGTGTTTGTTTATCCACAGCCGGTGTTGGAGTTTACCAAAAGCATCACTTGCCTTTCCCATTCTATTCCGAATCTCCTTGTCTATTCTAGCAGTGTTCGAGACAGTACTTCCAAGGTACGTATGATGCACGATCCTCGCAGTAGAGAGCGCTATTTATGCAATAGGGAAAATCAGACCTGAAAAAAATCAGGCCTGTACGGGATTCGAACCACTGACCTCTGCGATACTAGTGCAGCGCTCTACCAATTGAGCTAACAAGCCAACTGGGAGCAGGCCGTTAAGTTGATTCGTAATAAACCCGTGATGTTGAATCAGATATGATGAATATATGAAGTTCATATATTTGGAACTGCGGTTATAGTACTTCCAAGGTAGGTAAAGTCAGTGCTTTGTACAAGAAGCTCTTGGTTTATCATGATTGATTCTGGCCCAGGTGGAGGGTTGAGTAGTTTGACTGGTTGCAACAGGCATTCTTTCTTCTTGATGTTTATCTCCAGGCTGAATTGCGCGGCAGCCCTGGCAAAATCATCAACAAGTAGTTGTATATCTGCAGCATTGTGAGCCACCAGGGCAGTATCATCAACAAACAGCATCTCTCGAACTAAGTACCTAGTAGTGCGAGTTTTTGCCTTGAAGTGAGACACATTGGTGAGATCTGCCCCATGTCTTGTCTGGATGTAAATCCCTTCATGTAGGTTCCTAAATGGTACTTTCAACTTTGCTGTTAGGTATAATGAGAATAAAGTAGGTGCGAGCACACAGCCCTGCTTTACACCATTTGTGACTGCATATTTCTTGGATATGTCTTTACCTTGAACTACTTGGGCCTGCATCCCTTCATGTAGAGCCTTGCTCATGTTGAGGACTTTTTCTGTACAACCAAACTTTTTTAGTATTATCCAGAGGCCCTCTCTTGACACTGTATCAAGGGCTTCAGTAGAGTCTATGAATACAGCATAGAGTTGCATATACTGTTCTATACATTTCTCTTGGATCTGCCGCAGGCTAAAGATCATGTCGATGGTACTTCGGTTGCTTCAGAATCCGCACTGTCTCAGGAAAGATGTTAGGAGTTATCATGTTATTTAATCTGTTGAGGATAATACGAGCCATTATTTTTCCAGCAATAGACAGAAGTGAGATTCCTCTGTAATTGCCACAGTCTCTCCTGTTTCCCTTCTTGAAGATAGGCACAATGTTTGCATCCTTCCAATCTTGTGGCAGTTGTTATTTTGTCCAGATATCCGTGAATAATCAGATCGTAAAGTCTCTCTTTCAACTTTATTCCGCCATACTTCCAAACCTTAGCAGGGATGCCGCATCCACCAGGAGCCTTATTCCTCTTGGTAGCAGTAATCGCTTTATCAAGTTCATTAAATTCCGTTAACTCATCCAGGCTGACATTTGTTGGTACGTCTGGGAGGCTGTCTAGAGCAGTGTGATCCACT